AGATGTAAGAGCTAGCTAGAAATACACTTAAGCTATTGGCCAAACAGTATTGCAACTAACACAGATTTCTGTGTGGTTATTTCAGGAGTCTGGAAGGCCGGGACATGAACAAGCAGCCTCCGACAACAGCATAAGACCCATTTGTTGGTGCTGGGCCAAGACTGTAAGCATGAGGCTGTCTTCTGACTTAGCGCTGTGTTGATAAATCTCAACACCGGGAAGACCCTACAGACAACTCTCTCTACCCCAGATCTGCCTGCCAGTAAAGCCTCTGGAACAGCAGCAGACCCAGAAAAGATACACACCCCAGTCTGTCAGACTCTCCTCAGCACTGAGAGTCTACTGTTACAGCAGAGTGGCCTTTGTCCTAAATCAACCATTTACTGACCTTGTCAAGCTGTGGGCTCACTGTATCACACAACTTGGCAGAATTGGTGGCTACATATGTGACCCAGGAGTTGGAGGTGGGTCTATCCAAGGTGACTCTGCCCAGTGGAGGGCAGACCTAGCAGACTAACCACAGGCCAGTAACTGTGGAAGGGGCATCTAGCCCTAACCTGGTGCCAGAGAAAATCCTGAATCATTTCTAGAAGTCAGGTTATTTCTAGATTGTCTCCAATTTCTTTTTTTTTAATATTTATTTATTATTTATACAGTATTCTGTCTGCTTGTATGCCTGCAGGCCAGAAGAGGGCACCAGACCTCATTACAGATGGTTGTGAGCCACCATGTGGTTGCTGGGAATTGAACTCAGGACCTTTGGAAGAGCAGGCAGTGCTCTTAACCGCTGAGCCATCTCTCCAGCCCTGTCTCCAATTTCTTAAAAAAAAAAATACTCCAAGATGTATCAGAACACTCCCTGGTTTAGAGTCCCGTCTACAACTGCAACAATGACAACACCCACAGCAGGACTGCAGCAAACCTGCACCTGGGCGCCATCTAGTGCTAAAACACGGTAAGTGACAACCAGCTCAGAGAAAACCAGCCTCCCTGGGGGGCAGACAGGCACAGGGCAAACCAGAGTCCAGTAAACATCTTACCCTTGGTTGCACCAGCTTGCACCAAGAGCTTTTAGGGAACTCTGAGTTCACGTAGGACTCAGGCAGTAACCTGCATGGGAGATGTCTCAGTAAGAAGTTGAAACTACTGTGTTAAGAAAATTTGGTGTGCTTAAGGGAACTGAAATGTTTCACTATCCTAACAGAGGAACTCATCAAGCTGAAAGCAATAAAAAAGTTTCTAAGTTGTAAAAAACATCTCAGTGGAATTGAGAACCTCATGGGAGGCATCAACAGCAAGTGGGTTAAACAGAGTCTGGGAGCTTGAGGATGGGCTTAAAATGCACTGTTGGTGAGAAAGAATGAGGGAGGGAAAAGGCTTATGGGAAAATTGGGAGCTACTGAAAGAATAAGTATGTTTTGGATGCAAGAAGGGTCTGTGAATTCCAAAAAAGAAGAAAGCTTATTCACAGATGCTGTGGGAGTTCCTTCAGCCAATAGCCTTTAAGATACCAGCCCACTTGGGCATGGTCTCTTATACTATAAATGCAACTGTAAAGCCTGTGCTTCCGGCTCTCGCTGCTAGACTCTGTTCCTGTTCCCTGTTCATGCAGAGGACTATGACCTAGGACAGTGATCTGTAAGTCTCCCCTAAATAAATAACCCTTATTATACATAATTCTGAACTAGCATGGGATTATTTTGTATCTTCTGCCATCACACAGAAATAACAGGAAAGTTCCCAAACCTGGAGCACAGAAAAATCCTGGTATAGGAAAGGCAAAAGTCACTAATTAAATGTAAGTCAACAAAGTCTACCCCGTGATGGTATAATCCAGCAAGCTCTTACAGGTGAAAGACAGAAAAGCCCTAAGGCTGTAAGAAACAAGAAAGAACACACAGGGGAGACTCAACTAACCTAACAGTACACTTCTCAGCAGAGACCAACAGGCTGGGAGTGTTGTGAGGTATTCATGGTAATAAAGAAAAAAACTACCTGTCAGCAGGGGACACTGTTACCAACCAACTAAGCCGTTCTGTAAAAATGAACAAATAATGACGTTTCCAGAACAAATCCGAGTGTGTCTGTCTGTCTAGACTCGTTCTAGAAGTAATGCCAGAGGAAGTTCTTCAAACTGGAGCAGATATTAACAAATTCTAGAAAAAGCACCAGGCAGCTATATTCTTAGCACTCAGGAAGTGGAAGCAGCAGTGTCAGGAGTTCAAGGTTACACATAGCAAATTCAGTGCCAGTCTGGTCTACAAGAAACCATGTCAGAGAATAGAGAAGCAGAGAAAGAGAGAGAGAGAGAGATAAAGGAGAGGAAGGAAGGGGAAGAAAAGAAGAAAAATACAAGACTGTAAAACAGGTTAAGAGTGAATTATGAAACACACGCAGGACACTATTGTATGGTAAGCATGGTGCAGAGAGTAACCAGATCTTTAGTATAAACACACACACACACTCACAAACCAAAACAACAACGACAAACAAAAAACCCAGATGATGGAACCTATGCACTTACATAAACAAGTAAACTCAGACTTTTCAAGGTCCAAAATGGTACATGGGAAAATGATGGAAGTACATCATCCTCGATGCTTGAAAATGTGTATACAGCCAAGTATGGTCACTCACACCTGTAACACTGGCACTTGGGGGCTGAAGCAGAAGAATTTCCCCAAGGTCAAGGCCAGCCTGATATACAGGTCAAGTCTGTCTCAGCAAGCAGAGGCTAGCTGATACAAAATTTGAGCAGAAAATTAGCAATCACCTATTGCTGAAGCACATGACAAAGGGGGCTCTGGTGTACAGGCGAGAAGCTGGGCAAGAGTTTTATGAACAAACTGACCACTGGGATTGGCAGCTAGGGAGGGAAAGGGAACACAGACTGCAATCCAATCAAATTTGAGGCTGGTGGTGATGTTCCTTTTTCTATATATAGAGAAGGAATAGATTTGGGGTGGGAATAAAACACAAAATCCACATGAGATACATGTGAGTCTTTGGATGGTAAAGAAATATCAGCTTCTCTTACTTTTGTTATTTACTTGCTGAAGCTCATGCTCAAACCACAGAGAAGTGAAAAGATGCCATGGAAATAAACTCGGAGCTTTTGCACTGACTACAGGTTGCTTTGAACCAGTTGTTTACCCCACACTAAAGCCTGTGCTCAGTTAGCATGGGGTGGATCTCCTGAGATATAATACCATCAATCACATGGAAATTAACTTATAAAATTAGGCAGGTGGCATGGGCAGTGCAGCTCAGTGGTGCAGTGTAACTTGTATCAGGCCCAGGTTTGATCCCAATCACCAAACAAAAACAACAAAGAAGAAAACGATCCATGATGAACAAGTTTCACTTTTTGGGGAAAATTAACTTTCGTGTTCATTTTAGCTTTGAGAATTGTGGCTTTTTAAAAATAGTAGGATTGACTTAGTTAGTTTTGCTATATTGTGAAAGTTAAGTCTCAGGGGACAGTTATTACCCTAAAAGAAACTCACTCTGGAGACTCAGGATCAGGTGTGACTATGTGAACAACAGACCAGCCTCTATCCAAGTAAGAGCCTGTACACTCAGACCTGGGAAAGGGAAGGGACAAGGAACGTCTGTTGATGTCTTTATGGCTAAGATTACAGCTAAGATAGAGTTGCATTGTGGGCACGTATTAGCTCAACACACTACTGGGCCCATTTTACAGATGAGGGAATGGAGATACCAAGAAATAAAATACAGTCCAAGTCACATGCCATTAAGATGTCAGACAGGACATTTAACCTTGGAAATCCTGACTTCAGAGACTGTACCCATTCAACTATGTTCCTTAAGTTAGTCAACTTGGAACTTTCAGTTAATTGGAGTAATTTTGAAAGTCTGGAAATTAAGTTGCTATCAGAAGGCATGTATCTTCTGTGCTTGGCTTGAGGTATATGAGATTTTTTTTCCGTAAAGGGTATTTATTCACAAAGTAAAACAATGTGATTCGAACGGTTTAGTACTGTAGTCAAGATTTCCCAGCCTGTTTCTCTTTGACAGCTCTCTTAACCACTTCTTACCTCCCCCCCCCCCCCGTTTAAAACTAAAATTCCTTACCTATTAAGCAAGTAAATAATGGTATCAGGGGGCTGGAGAGGTGGCTCAGAGGTTAAGAGCACTGACTGCTCTTCCAGAGGTCCTGAGTTCAATACCCAGCAACCACATGGTAGCTCACAACCATCTGTAATGAGATCTGGTGCCCTCTTCTGGCCTATAGGATATATGTAGGCAGAATACTATATACATAACAAATAAGTCTTTTTGAAAAAAAATAAAATAATGGTATCACTTTGCAGTAGCGAGGATTAAACGAGAAAGAAGTGTTTAAAACGGTGTAAAACACCCGTCATAAATACCGTTGTTATAACTGCCCTTTGCTTTTTTGGGGGGTAGTCCTGATTTTGAAATGACCAAGACATGACTGTGAAATCTGGAAGCAGGTGGGTGAAAAGGAAGCTGGAATGGGCTCCCTGTCCAGCAGTTCGGAGTCATCCCTTTTCCCAAAGCCCCTCTTCTGTCCCGTGATACGAAGGGGCAGGAGAAGATGATGTGTTTCTGATATTTCCTTACGGCCTAAGATTTGGGAAAATGTAAAGCACACTGACTGTTTTCGAATCGATTCCCAAGCCTGACAAGGGACGTCTAGGGTTCTGGACCGGGAAAAGGAAAACCGCACAGACAGGGACCCCTCAACCATCTGGACCACAAAGACCTCCGATGCTTATCGTGGATCGTCATCACTTCCGGCCTGAGGAGCCGCTCGCGTCCCTATTTCGTTTTCTCCCGCCATCGTCACACGGAAGGTTAACTTTTCCCTTCCAGGACAACGCCAGCCCCTCGTGGTTTCGCTTCATTCCCACGTAGCCACGCCCTTTTCGGGTTCACCGCGCCGCTTGATTACATCACACCCCAGCCACGCAAGAGATATCGCGAGGTCTCCGCTGGCGCTCCCTTTCAAACCCGATCGGCTGTGGGAGTCGCTTCTGCTCTCGCGAGATCTTCGCGGACGCCGGGCTCGGGCGACCCGGGCTTCTGTGAAACATGGCGGTCGGCTGGGACCGTAGCACTGGGTAAGATGCCGAGACCCCGCCGGGGCCGTTTCCCGCTGTCGTCCGGGGCGCACGGGAACATGGGCGCGGTCGAAGGGCTCACGGCTGTCCCGACGCTGGCCCAGGTCGAATCCCCGTGGCTCTGCGTGGAGCCGGTGGCGGCCGAGCCGCTCCGCTGCTTGGGGGCGTTCCTGCCGAGTGTGGCAGGCGTCCGCGCACCGCGGCCCGGGGCTCCGTCTCTTGGCCGCTCACGGGCCAGCCGCGCCCTCCGTTGTCTCGTCCCGGCTGTCGTGGGCAGCGGCGGCCTCGCCTGCACCGGGAGAGGGGCCGGGTCTGGCCCGGCGGGGCGCAGACGCCGAGGCAGGTGCTGTGCGTGTGTCTCCGCGTCTGTCCCGTTGTCCATTGCTGACCCGGCCTGGAGGAGAGGGCATGGCTCGGCTCCTGCTCCAGGACTGCCGTGGGTGTCGGTAGACGGGACCTGACAGCTCCCTGAGCTAACGTCTCATTAACTTTATGTGTGGTTTTCAGTGCCTTGCAGACTGTAGGCAGATAGCAGCTGTTCCGATGCAGCGAGGTGGGTTTTCGGAAGCAATTAAAGACAGTTAAAAATAGACATTTTCGTTCTTTGGCTTGAAGTTGTAATTCCGGATTTCGGTTCTTCTCCTCATGAGTAGAACTCCCGCGTACGAACCTAAAGAAACGAGTCTGCTGGATTGCGGAGGAGTTGTTTGCCTGCCTTGTTTATTGCCTTAAGTTATTATTACTATTCCACTTTAGAGAGGAGGATCCTGACACATAGAAGTTCCGTGTTTTTGTAGTGAGGGTTCAGAGGAGGAGAAGCTTGCTTTCTGATAGTAAACTTCACGACATTACTGAGTATTATAATAGCTTCGTGGTATAAGTTACAGAAATATGGCAAGATAAGAGGTCTCTGAGAGGAAGTCACTGTACTCTAGAACAAGAGCAACATAGATTTAGAAAAAAAATGGCATTTTTTTTTCACGGGGTTAGTCATTTAAATGATAATTCATTTTTAAAGAAAAGTTGGTTTTTGACTTTGTGTGCTACAAATTCTATTGGATAGTTTTACTAGATTTCAATTCTGTGTTTTAATGCCAGAGACTTTATCATTTGACTCCTGCGCCCCAGTTTCCTCATCAATTAAATGAGAATAATAAGATATTACTTACCTCATGAAAAGTTGGGAAGGGTATATATTTCAAGTCATGGAAGTATTTAGAACAGTACCTACCATACTGCTCTTAGTTTTTGTTACTTATCATGTTTTGACTCCTGAAGTTTCCTGTGGCTTGCTTACTTAGGCACAGTAGAAAATGAAGGAGATCCTGTGGAAGAGTTTATTTCTAACCCCCGAAGTTCATTAGCATTGGAGGAGCGGGGGATATGATTAATAGGAACTCAAACACTTGTCTTTCTTGGTTTGGAGAACTGCTCCCCTCTCAGTAATGCACACATTTGTCTTTCCCCCTCTGCATCCAGTCTTGTTTATATCCAGACTTTGTTAACTCATTCTCTTGCTCCTGAAGAACATTTATATTGTAGACATTTTCTGTTTGTATCTCCTTATTTTAATCTCGTGAACTTCGTTTGAGTAGCTGCTGTTGTCCTAACTTCCTATTGCTGGAAAGCACTTCCAGACTCTTCAAGATTCCTGTTGGAATATCTCTTGTCGGTAGACTCTTTCTTAACGTTTACGCTGTTAAAGTACATCTTCGGTTTGTGAATTATCCATTAACCTCAGAGGTACTACGCTCACACTTGCTCACATCCTGACTAGAAATGCTTCTCAAATCTCTTCTGAAAATGATATTTTTTAAAACCTCACTTCTGTTTTGATTAATAGCTGGCATAGCCCATGTGTACTACCCTCTTAGATGACAATATGAAAGGAATTCAGAGAAGTCGAGGATCTTCACTTTGTCGTAATAGCTAGTAAGTTCCTAGAAGATAGTTTGGTTCAGATCACAAAACTTAGTACTTGTCTTCCCAGTGAACTTTTTATCACTAAGAAACTTATGGGATTAAATCTATTGACTATAAACTAGGAAGCTTAAAATAGTGGAAATTTATTCTTTTCAGTTTTCAAGACTCAAATTCCAAACCAAGATGTAGGAAAGGTCCTGCTTTATCTGAAGGCGTGAGACAGAGTGTCTCCTTGCTTTCCTGCTCCTGAGCAATCTTGCTCTGTCTTTGTGTAACATTCTCTCTATAATGGGGCCTTCATCATGTGGTCTTGAAAGGATACCAGTTCTTTTTTTTGGATCACTCCAATGCACTCTGATTATTTCCAAATGAGATTCCGAATATTTCCAAATAAGGTTCTTTCACAAGTGGCAAGGCCTAGGACTTCAGCATATCTCTTTGAAGACATAGTTGAGTTCATTCCAGTGTAGTTGTATGCTAATCTTTTAACTGTTTCTCATTGAGAAGTGCATGTTATAAATAGCAAGTGACTCGTGAAACGTTGATAATAGAAGACACAGTTTTGTGCCAGTGAGTGGCTCATCTGGTACAGGTGCCCCCCGAGCCTGATGATTTTCATCCCCAGGACACAGGCGGTAGGAGGAGAGGACTGATTCCCGCAGGTTGTTCTCTAGCGTCTGCGTGCGTGCCGGGACACACGGGTCTCCCTCCCCTTAAATGTAATTAAAAAGATAAGTCTCATTCCAAAATAAATTCTTCCTTTTTTGTTTTTAGAAGTAATAAACTTTAATTGTGTGAAGTTTTCTGGGTTCTGTATTTTATTCTCATTATATTCAATGGATACAATGGTGAAATTGACTGTATGTTGCTTTCAGGAGTGTTGGTGTCTAGTTCAACATGAAGAGGCTTCTTAATTCTTAAGCAGTTGTTTAATTATTCTCTTAGTTGCCACCACTATATCTGTGAGGTTTAATTTTTGTTACTTTTTTTAAAGGACAGTTTAGAAGAGACAGCAGAGAAACCAGAAGTGGTGTTAGAGATCACTAACGTGTACATACGGTGTTTATCAGTGAACAGAAAGATCGTGCAAAGACTATATACAAAAATAATGCATCAAAGGCTGTGTTTGAAGATGGAAATAGATAAAGTTACAGTGTTAATCTTACTAAATAAGGATATCCAAAGCAAAAAACCCTGTGCTATCTACTGCATTTTTTAATGTGAATGGTGTTTTGCCTACATATGTGTGTATACACCGTATGTGTACAGTGCCTTTGGAGACATCAGATGGTGGTGGAATGGGGGAAAGACAAGTACTGACTGATTCAGGTGTAGAGGCCGTGGGGCAGCCTTGAATGCACCTATGCACCCATCGAAGTTGGCAACAAGAACGGAAGGCAGGGGCACTACAATTTGGAGCCAACTTTGCAGCTAGGCTGCATGGACCAAATCTCTGTTCTGCATAGTGCCACTTGTACCTTCCTGGGAAAAATGCGTTGCGGTTTTTATTTATGAGAAGGAATCAGAGTGGCATCTGCGGTATAGAAGAGTAAGTTCATATGTCAAGTGTATTGAATGGTACTTAACATGAAAGTTAGTTCTGTATGTCTAACTGCTATTATTAAGGGAAGGTAGACTTTAAAGAGAAGCGATGGAGTGCGAAATATGATTAAGAACACGCAAGTTTTTTACCCTGAGAGTCTTCGGAATGAAGTATTAAATGGGAATTACAACATGAGGAAGTAGGATTTCATAGAGCAGGTTGATGGTTTTTTTAAGCATTGGATAACTTGTTCGTGTCACAACAATGGTTTATACAGCGACAAGTGTTGGAAATGGAATGGGCTTCTTGGAAGTCGTTAGCGAGCTTGCAGGAATGGGCAGAAGTCGAGTGGCAGCCTGCTTCCCTCAACAGTGGTGATCCTAGGAAACAGTCTCGGGGGAGCCACGAGGGCTGCGCTGTCTGGCTCAAGAGAGGGGAAATGCATAGATTGTGTTGGTTCTTGGAGTTTGTGAGACTAACAGCTACTTCCCACAGTTTCTTGGTATAATGTAAAAGGAGCTTTACTTATAAAGCTTACTTTGAAAACTATATGTAAGTTTTGAAAGTAGAATCCCCTATTTATTTTTTCAACGTTTACAGCTACTGTTTAAAGCTGGCGACTCTCTAGTGAACAAAACAGAACCGTTCCTCTTAGGCAGCGGTTTAAATGTTCATTTACCCAAATATGGCAGTTTGGATTTGGAATCTGTGCTGCTATGGAGGTTTCCCTTCCATCTCTAAGGCTTACCTGCCTGCTGTGTCAGGCATTGGCCTTGTAAAGGTGAAGTTAGATATGGTTCCTCCTTTGACTGTTAGTGGCTAGAAACAGCCATAGGGACACAGGCCCAGAAGAGTGAGTGGAGTCAGTCACATGAGCCTGGGGGAGACAACAAGGAACTAATGCTGCAGAAAGAGCAGAGTGAGTACTGAAAGGTTCTCAGTGTTGCTGGAACTCAGAGGGAAGACAAGGACAAGGTATGTGGTGGGCGTGATCTGTGGAGGGTTCTGCAGCCATGTTGGATGGCCTGACTCCTGTGTTGTGGGAAGTGACTCGAGGGCTTCAAGGCGGATAATGTGCCCTCTGATGCTGTTAATAATTGATTCCTAGTGGTCAGGGAGTGAGGCGAAGCACAACGTGTGGCCATTGAGACTAATGTACCTAGTAAGGGCCTTCTGTGCCCCAGGAAGAAAGCAAACAGAGAAACTTAGGAAGAAGCTGAGTCTGAAGGCAAACCTGTGTTTCTGGCTTGTGCAGTTTGGTATGTACTGTCAATCATTAAGATAAGACAGTGGAAGAAAGCCAGTGATGAAGTAGCTCAGTGTGGGACTACTGGGACAGAAATATAGAGTACAAGGCAAGGAGATAGTCTTCTGAGGGATCGTGGCTGAGATGAAGATGAGAGGAATCCAAATCTAGAGGGGAGATGAGCATCATGTCCACTTTCAAAGTCTTGGGTTTTGTAACAGTTTGACTTTTCAGTTTATGATTTTGAGATTTGGGTGCTTGCTGAATTTCTAAGGTCAAAGCAAGAGACTATCATGAAGAAAATTTCTCTCATAACACATGTGCTCATGCATGCACGCAAGCCAAGCATACACACACGCGCGCGGGGAATGAGAATATGGGTATCAATACGTTCTAGACAAAGCTACAACATGAAGTTTTTCTCTTGGATTTAGTACCTATGAAAGATGACAGGCTTGAGCCAGTTTAGTCAGGAGATGAGGGGGAATAAGATATAGAGTTGGGCTGGAGGGTGTGCTGTCAGAAATCTGTACTAGACTTGGACTGAGTTTAGGGAAGAGTCAGATTTTGCCTTAAGGAGACATGAACACTTTTACTGTTTAATAAGAGGCCTTTGGAGGTGATTCAGTCAAGTGCCTGCTGCACAAGCCTGAAGAGTTTGGATCCTTAGTGCCCATGTTAAAAGCTGTGTGTGGTGCCATGTCCCTCAGAGACAGGAGGATGCCTGGGGCTTGTTGGCCATCAGTCTATCTGAATTGATTAGCTCCAGGTTCACTGGAAAACCTTGTCTCAAAGAGTAAGGTGGAGAGATTGAGGAGAATCCTTAGCATTGATCTCTGGCTTCCACATGCACATGTACGTGCGTACGTGCACGGGCAGATAGATGCACAGATGTACACCACAGACGTCATATACAATGAGTGATGGTGGGGCCTGTCTTAGGTTTCTGCTTAGGTTTTGTAGGTGATCTAGAGATGATTTTAAAATGTTTGAGAATATGTGCTGGGACCATTTGCAAGCCTGCTCTCTGAGGAAATGCGTGAGCACTGTGTCTTTCTGACTGTGTGTAATCGGCTCCCCATGGACACTGAGAAGCACCTGTGTTGCTAATATTATAAGTATCTGAGAACTTACAGCTCTTGTTGCCTTATAACTTCTTTTTCCATATATATGGAAATTATATATAGTTATACATATGTATATATAATTTGTCAACTTAATACAAAATAAGCATTTTAAATGTTAAAATTTAACATTTAAATTTGAACAATTTAAATGTGAAAATGTGACCGTCTCCCACTTTTTTTTTCTATTTAATTTGTGTTTGTATATTGCCTTTCATTCATAATTTTGTCAGAGTGAAAATGGAGAAGAGGGTAAAAGGGCTCACTATTTTATTTTTTGTCAAGGAGAGTTGAGAATGCTGATTTCTGAGAAAATTGGTCGTATATTCATTTACCTCTTTGTTCCTTAGCATGACTATATGAAGGAAGAGGAAGGTTTATCTGAAGATGAGGCGACTGAATCGGAAAAAAACCTTAAGTTTGGTGAGAGAGTTAGACGCCTTTCCCAAGGTTCCTGACAGCTATGTGGAGACATCAGCCAGTGGGGGAACAGGTGAGCTCGCTCCAGACTCTGGTCAGTAGATCACCAACATGTGGGCGCTGGCTTTGGAACTGCTCATCCTGTGCCGAATGACTCTGCTTTAACTATCGGTGTTCTCTGTAGCGCCTGGCAGTGCCTCTGATTACACATCAGTAGTCTGGTAGTACAGTTTACCCGTGGTGCTGTGTTTATAGATTATACATCTTATCGTATTATATATTATATTACACGTCAGTAGTCAGGTAGTACAGTTTACTGTGGTGCTGTTCCAGCTGTGTGTTGCTGTGTTTATAGATTATGCTTATTATATATTATATTATATTATATTATTACACGTCAGTGGTCAGGTAGTACAGTTTACTGTGGTGCTGTTCCAGCTGTGTGTTGCTGTGTTTATAGATTATACATCTTATCGTATTATATATTATATTACACGTTAGTGGTCAGGTAGTACAGTTTACCTGCGGTGCTGTTCCAGCTGTGTGTTGCTGTGTTTATAGATTATACATCTTATTGTATTATATATTTTTTTTTTTTTTTGGTTTTTCGAGACAGGGTTTCTCTGTGGCTTTGGAACCTGTCCTGGAACTAGCTCTGTAGACCAGGCTGGTCTCGAACTCACAGAGATCCGCCTGCCTCTGCCTCCCGAGTGCTGGGATTAAATATAATTTATTCTTAATATAAATGGACTTGAGAGTGGAGAGACTTACGAAAGGCTGCCAGCACAGCCCCGTTCCTGTTCTGCCTTGGGTGACAGTAAAGACTTGCTGTAAGAAAGTCCTCGTCTGTCTTAGTTCTTACGTGAAGTGAGGATGTTAGTATTTATATTGCTAGGGCGAATGTATTATGTAACTTTTTATGTGTAAGTAATTAGAGCATTTGTTAAATAAAGGAAGTGATAAAGTATAGGAAAGTCTCTACCTATAATAATACTTCCTATTATTCTTCCCTATGGTGAATTAGTAAGATAACAGTCATATGCTGTTGAGCGTCATTGGGTAGAGAAATGTGTAATGAAAGGTGCATATAATCACTTGGTGATGCTTGCCTAGCCTGTGTGGGGCCCTGGTTTTGAACCCCAGCACCGTAAACTGGGCATGGTGGCACATACCTGTAATCCCAACACTAAGGAGTGGAGGCAGGAGGATCTCAACTTCAAGATCATTTTTGGTTACGTAGTCAGTTACAGACTAGCTTCAAGTAGTTATAGACTTCTTAAGACTCTGGCTCAAAGACAAAGTAAAACAAAAAGAAAAAAAAAAAAACCCCACAAAACAAAACACCCCAAACAAACAAAAAACCCAAGTAAGTAAAATAAAGTGCAATAAAAGGCTTGCTAGTTCTGCCCCTGTGAGTGAAGACAGTGAGGAGAGCCTGCTCTGGGTGCACAGCCTTGTGTCGTGTGCTGGTCAGCGAGTTCTCACAACTAGGTGTCTACTTAATTTGCAATACAGTAATATATTTAGGACATTGCAAAGTAGGTGGTAGTATTTTAGGGTCTTAGAGAGCTCATCTGATTTTTCATCTTAGGACCTAGTTTGTTTTAAGTTGCATTATAAGCACATAGGTGTTTCTTAGTAATGAGGGAAGTGTGTCTAGGTCGGTGTTGTCAGCATGCTTCCTACTTGTCCTGTCTGTAACTGCTGTGAGCAGCACATACCTGTGCTGTGTAAAGTTTTGTCTTCTGGGGTTAGGCACTGCTGAACTGAAGGCAAGCAGGACACAGATGTTTGTGTTCCTGTTTGTGCTCCATGCTTTCATTTCTAAGCTGTTTTAAAACATCTGTAATGTTTTAAGAGAAATCATTTGTACTCTTTATTCAAATAATGTTCATGTTGAAAACTTTCCTTTTTTTTAAACCTCATTTTAATCCTGCTTAAGATACCTGTTTACCTTTTTATTTTAATTCTATTTTTCTTTTTTTGATTCCTTAGTTTCTCTAATAGCATTTACCACTATGGCTTTATTAACAATAATGGAATTCTCAGTGTATCAAGATACCTGGATGAAGTACGAATATGAAGTAGACAAGGATTTTTCTAGGTAACCAAGTTTTTCTTCTTCTTCTTTTTTTTTTTTAAACTCTTTCTTTTTTTTTTAAATATTTATTTATTATGTATACAATATTCTGTCTGTATGTCTACACCAGACCTCATTACAGATGGTTGTGAGCCACCATGTGGTTGCTGGCAAATTTTTCTTCTTGATACCCTTAGATGCACCTTTTAAACTATCCATGGGTTTGGTTTGGTTTTGGTTTATCTTAGTTTTGAAGAAATAGCACTGGAGCCGGGCGGTGGTGGCGCACGCCTATAATCCCAGCACTCGGGAGGCAGAGTCAGGCGGATCTCTGTGAGTTCGAGGCCAGCCTGGTCTACAGAGTGAGTTCCAGGACAGGCTCCAAAACCACAGAGAAACCCTGTCTCGAAAAACAAAAAAAAAAAACAAAACAACAAAAAAAAAAGAAATAGCACTGGAAATCCTCATTAATTGTTTGTATTAATTGAAGCATTTTAGAATCCTCTAAATACTGTTTAAATTCTAAAGCAGGTTCATTATGCACTTATTTACCATCTCCAAAACAAAACAAAAACAACCCACCTAGAAACATTTTTTTTTCTAAGCCTGCGGATGCTAAGCTAAGCTGAAACTTTTAAACCCATGAAGACAGAGTACTAAGAGACAAAAGTAGCTTGACAGCCATTTCTTTGCTTCATTTGGATGTTTCTGTGGGTTGCAGATAGTGGGCAGAGAGATACTCTTCCTTTACATCCCAGCTCTGCTATGACTGTGTCATGTACACAATTCAGGACGCCATTAACTCTGTATTGTGTATGCTCTGATTTTCTGTTCCGTAAAATAGAAATAGTAAGTATAGGGCTTTTCTCACTTATGAGCTAAATCACTCGCAGCTTGTGAATTGTGCATAGCATTGGGCTAGTCATGCAGCGAATTCTTGTCTGGCCTCGGTGTCTTTGCCTGTAACCCCTCATCTGTTATCTTCAGGGTGCTGGTGACTTCTCAACCTCCTTTGTGTTCAGCATCATCGAAACACTTGGCTTTCTTTGTGGTCTCGGGCAGATCAGGAGCCTGTCTTCTTGGCCTCCACCACTGGTTCTCCCAGCTCTCCCTGAGCCTCGCGTGTACTGATATCAGGGGTTAGAGTTCCAGACAATTTTAAGACTATGATGCTCTGAAAAATTTGATTCCTTTTGATCAGAAGCACAGAACTGAGTGTGTTTATGCCATTCTCCTATTAGTAGTGTGTATTAGTGACCTATTGTTGATTGATAAAATACCTTGGCCAAAAGTAACTTATAGAAGAAAGAGGGTTTTGATTTGTGGCTCCAGGCGCTATAGTCCATAATACCAGAGAAGGCGTGGCCTGCCTGCCGGAGGATGAACACAAGAGAATGAGCAGAAGTGGGAGTAATGTCCTTCCTCCAGCAAGACCTCGCCAAACTGGGGACATTTCTCATTCAAACCACCACATAATGGTTAATTCTACTATTTGAAAGTTAATTTTTATAAGAACGAGTCATTTGAAAACAAAGCATTGGTTGCCTATTATTTAAAGGCCACGTAAAGCCAGTTATGGTGGTGTACACCTTTAATCCCCCACTTAGGAGGCAGAAACAAAGGAATCTCTGTGAGTTCAAGGCCAGCCTGATCTACATAAATTCCAGGCCAGCTATGGCTGCCCAGTGAGAGCCCATCTCAGAGTGAAAGGGCTGTGAAATCCTTAAGCACCAGATGCTTTCCTGGTAGTTTGCTCTCCTTTGTCCTAAGGCTGGCTGTTTTCTGTTGGGCATGTATGCTTGAACCTGAAACATCTACTTTCTATTCCACAGTAAAGAAATGGCACTGAAGGACACCCAACATAATGTGTGGTTTTTATGATAAATGGAAGAAGAATCTTGGAATACCTTCTTCTTGACTAGGGTTTCATGTCCTGAAAGGACTGTTCTATCTGAAGTTTAAACAGGCGAGCTTTAGTTTCTTGGGATTCTTGGCTGTGGAGTCGCTATTAACAAAGGTGGCTGTTGTTAAACATGGAGAAGCAGAAATGTGTAGGAGCCCAGAGAGATGGCTAAGTGGTTAAGAGTTCTCATCGCTTTTGCAGAGAATCAGAGTTCAGTTCCCCATAACCACATCAGGAGGGTCACACAAAAGAGAATTTTTTTTTAATGTTCTTGTTCTGATTTTAAGGAATGCAAGTTAAGTTCTAACTTGTGTTTTCCTGCCTGAAATCCACATTTTCATAGGTGTGTTGATTTTCATTTCTGGTGTTTTGCTGATTGATGGGTACTGATGGCTGCCCTTTTCTCTTACAGCAAGTTGAGAATCAACATAGACATTACCGTTGCCATGAAGTGTCAGTGTGAGTACACCGTCACCGTCACCAGGCTGTCAACTCGCTGACTTTTCTGAATGTGACTACAGTGTAAAGAACCGTAGCATTCGCAGTCAGTTGTGATCTAGGCAGACTGTCTGTCTTTGTGGGAAGTCAGGCTTTCTACCCACACTCCACCTTTTACACCTTTGCCCTGCACTCTAGGACAGATGAGTCTCATTTTTCAGTTCAGTTTTCTTCAGGTAGTGGTTTTAAGAGGTAAGGAGATACGTTATGACTGAGCTTTGAGAGCTAGCTCAGGTCCTGAACAGATGCCATGTTGGAACACCGTTAAAATTTTAGCCTTTCAAAGCAAAGTTTCCTATTTGGTATTTTTAAAAGTCTAAGTAGATCTGCCTTATAATTTCTTTGAATTCTTAAAGTAACTCTTGTGATTAATTGTATTCAGCATCTTTAATGCTTAGAGGCTGTTTAATTTTAGCAAGCTGGCCAGTTTATTAACCTTAGCTTTTTTACTATGAGAAAAATAAAATCATGAAATTTTGGAATACTGTCTACAAAAGCTACATAATAAATGCTACTCTTTAACTCTGAACAAATAAAAGTTGTCTCTGTTGTTGTTTTATAGCATATGGTCATTTTGATCAGAGTACAGAATGTAAAAACTTTGTTTTAATGCAGATGTTGGAGCAGATGTACTGGATTTAGCAGAGACCATGGTTGCATCTGCAGATGGTCTATCTTACGAACCAGTAAGTTTGATTTATGTGGTTTTTAAATTTGTGCAGGAAATATATCTGATTTTTTTCCCTTTTATTTCAGAAGTCATCTAAATTCTCTGTAGAACCTTGTGATGGAGAAAAGTTATACCTAATATCAAAAGCTGAAATAACCACAGCTGGCATTTTGGGTAGGCCTCTAGGGTCTGTTATAGCTCAGGACACTGCTTCCTGTCAGATTCCTTCCTCTTGTATTTGCCTGAAGATTAGAAGTTGTACTTTGTAGTTGTCTCAGGACTTTATGACCTGTGCTACTTTCACCAAGCCTAAATCTTTAAAAACATCTGAGCTGTAGCTTTCTTATCACATCGGAGGGAATCTCATTGGCTTTTACCTTTTCCAGTGCTGATGCTCTTAGTAGTTTCGAAGCACAAGCTGTTCTTAGCTGACTCACCGCACAGTATGTTACAGGGTCAGTATGCTCGTACTGGTGCCTGATCATAGCTCTAAAACAGCTTCATAAAGAGCACATGGCCCTCTGGTCCCATGGCATGTAATTTACGTGTTCATTTTTAAATTCATTTTCTTGTCACAAAGATGGAGGAAGACTAGAGTTCAGTTCATTGACTGGGTTGAGACAGGAAAACCCTGGACTAGTTCTGATTGCTGAGTTAACTTGAATTTACAGCCAAAAAAAAAAAAAATGTGTTTGTCTTTGGTCTCAGCTTGTTTTCATTACATTTAAGTCCCTGTGACAGAATCCCTGTCAGAGACAACTTGAGGGAGCAGCTATTGGTTCTGGCTATAGCTTTCAGGGTTCAGGCCGTGGTTTCTTGGCCTCTTGTACTTGGGAGAATATCATGAATGCTGCAGTGTGTGACAGGAGCTTTCATCCGGTGTAGACGGGACAGAGCCAGGACACTCCCCAAGTTCCTACAGGCTTCCACATCATACCATTAGCTGGGGTCCTGGGTTCTGCTTAGGAACCCGAGGCAGATAGTTCATATTAAGACCATAAAGCATGCCTAAAGTAGAAATGTTTATAGAAAAATAATTTAGTATTGCAACTCTAATCCCCTCTTCTGATCTCTATTTTTCTACTAACAAAGTTTATTTTATTGTAATTTACATGGAGTAAGTAAATGTAATTTACTTTATAAATTCAGATAGCGTTATAACATACTAGAGTGTGATCTGCAGATTTGGATCAAAATGGTTACCAGTAAACATTGAGACACTTCCATTTTATACTGTTTTCAGAATATTCAGTTATAGTGCTTTTTCATAGCTTATGTGTGTATCCACTGACACACGTGTTTGCGTGTTGAGACCTGAACTTAGACTGTCGTCATTGGGAAAGGTGCTGTCCACCATGGTTTTTGCAATAAGCACATCTTTCACTGTCCTGGAACCCTAGCCACTAGGCGAGGCCGGCTGACCCACCCGTGTCTGCCGCCGTGCTGGGCTCCACACGTATGCCGCATGCCTGGCTGCTCTGCATGGGCGCAGACCCAGGTCGTGCTTGCAAGGCGAGTGCGTTGCCAGCTGAGCACTCTCCTTTGCCCCTGTGGCCTCTGTGCACTATTAGTCTTAATTTTGTGATTTTTGTTTTTCATTTTATTGGGCTTTTGGGGTTTCTTTTTCAGCAAAGGTGTGTGGTTTTGTTTTGCGACTTTCCTAGGAGGAGGAGGAAGGGCTGCGGTGCTTGGGTTCCCACTTAGGCCTCGCCCCATCTGTCACCTGTCCCCTCCCCCATCCCCAGTGGTTCCCTTTCAATTTTAGTTTCCAGTTTCAGCAATGCTGAGCTTGACTGGTTTTCAGTCCCAGAATACGCATTTTGTGCTTCTGATTGTCAGCTTATGTTTGCTCCTGCAAATATCAAGAAGATAGTTGTCATTAGTGAAGCTTCCCGATGCTGTCGTTGTATAAAACATTGCAGGTTAAATCTCGACTATGTCTTAGCAGTACTATAAGTTTGTTTCTTATTCATAGAAAAACATTTAAACTGATGCTATATGAACACCAAGGGATTTGTCAGTGACTATGTTCTCCTTTTTGGCAGGCAGTGTTTGACCTTTCACCCCAGCAGAGAGAGTGGCAGAGGTAAAGTGTAAACAGTGTCATCACCATAGAAACCTAGACCATTTTTTCTGTTGGAAACTATGCATTTGTTAAAATATTTTAGTATATATAATCTTTATGACTTAAAAAACTATCAGGCCTTAGGAAAGTCTAACATAGTGTTTCTTTTCCGTAGTATACTTTGACTCATAAATAAATTTTAGTTTTTAAAATTTTAAAGAAATTTAACTGTAAAAGTGTATGAACATTGTTTAGAATTTGGAGCCAGGTGTGAATATATACACCTATGATCCCAGCATTTGGGACACTGAAGCAGGAGGGTCAAAGTTCACCTCTTTCCTGGGCATGGGTTAAGTATGGAAACAGACAAAAGGTTCATTTTATGAACAGCTTAAAGGAAAAGCTGTCTCATTCTGGGAACTGCAAAACCATGAATGAGGAAAACCACATGTGACCCCTGGGAACTGTTTGTTTATCAGGGTGTTGTCTTGAGTCAGGTAGGGCTGTTTAAGAAAAAGTGTTTTCTCTATCCCATTTTTGTTCCCAAGATGGCCTATATTTAAGGTTACCCAATTTCAGATTATCAGACAAAAATGTACTTTGTACTTAAATGTTTGTTTTTTACAGACATACTCCCTAGTACACTTGAAGAGTCTTTTTCTTTTCATTACCAATTTTCCTGGCTGGAAGATTTTTAATATTGAGATTGAATATAGTTGAAGAAAAACAGTGAATATTAGAGCTTTCTGGGTTTCTAGCACTTTTACTAGGAAGCACTTACTAGAGGTGAAAGATGTTACTTTTATCCAGAAATATTAAAGTGAGAGTCAGGTGTGTGTGCATACTTGTAATCCCAGTATTTAAGAGGCTGGGGCAGGAGGATCAGTAGTTCAGAGCCCTGTTTCAGGAAGCTAAAACAAACAAACAACACACCCAGAAACACTAGCATGAGCTGTCTCCTCTTCAAAATTTTAAGATTTTTATTTAAGTATGTGCATGCCATGTTGCAAACTGTCTGTTATGGGTTCTGGGAACTGAACCCCAGTACTGGAAGAGCAGAAAGCACTTTTAACCCTCAAGTCATCTCTTCTGACCCAAGATGGTTCCTTTTATATAGAATTCTATTAAATATTGAAGGGGACTAATGAGTGGCAACAGAGACCAATTTTATTGAATAAGAGGGCTTTCCTATCGTTCCTAGAACTTTCTGCATCTTTTCATATAGCATGTCTTCTGCATATCTTTGTACTTGGCTGTTGGTTGGTGTGCTCCAAGCAGAAGTCTCACAGTCTCTTCAGACTCTGACCACTGCCATCCATTAAGCTGAACTTGAGCTACAAGACTTATTAAAAATGAGTATTCTAGTCTGGAGGGAGATGTCCTTTTCCTTTGGAGTTGACTCTCTCAGTTGGTGTTTTGCCTTAGATAATTAAGGTTGCAGTATCTTTAGAAGAAAATTTCAAACCCTGAGCACAGCCTTTTGGGACGTCTGCTTTCTCTTTCTAGGTTTAATGTTAATGAGACAGTCCCGTTAACCCAGTGTTCTAGATGGGTAGTGCATAAGTATTCCCTCATTTCTGTGTATACACTGCTTTACCATTGCGATGAGATGTGGTGTATGGGAGATGAATATTTGTGTTTTTAAGATGGTATGTTTACATGTAAGTTTTTTTTTCTACTTTCAAGTTCATTATTTTTTAGAGTAGTTACAAGTTCACAGCAAAGATAAGTAGAAAGTTCAGAGTTCCCATATCTCCTTTTCCTTTATCAACATCGAGCTCCAGAGTGGCTTACTTGTCATAATCCATGAGACTTGCATGGATCCAACATTACCCAAGCAAGGTCTGTAGTTCACTTGGGAGCTCCCTCTTAGAGGTCATTCCTTTGAATGGACAGTTGTGTAATATACCCACCATGGTACCATCAAGAGTAGTTTCACTGCCCTGAAAGTTCTCTGTGCCACCACCGCTCATTTCTCCCCACTGTGTGTAGTGTTTGTGCTTGCTGAGTTATGACTTGATATGTCACTTAAGATCCTGCTAGAGGAGGTGACTCTAAGCAATGTTGCTATTCTTATTTTACTGTGAGTATGTTTGAACACTTTAAAATTTCTTAGTAGATTTATTTATTTTGTATAGATTTATTTATTTTGTATGTATCAGTGCTACACTTGAACCTATGTCTGTGTCACATGCACATCCTGGAACTGGAGTTCTGGGCAGGTGTGAACACCGCCGTGCGGGTGCTAGGATCACACCCGGGACCTCTGCTGAAACAACTGCTCTTCATCATTGTAGCCACCTCTCCAGTCACCTGTGTGGGCGTTTTTGTCTGCATGTATGTCTGTGCACCCCTGTGTGCCTGGTGCCTGGAGAAGCAGGAAGAAGACATTGGATCCCCTGAAACTGGAGTTACAAATGGTTATTTGCTATGATGTGGGTGCTGGGAACTAAATCCAGGTCCTCAAGAAGAACAGCCAATGCTGAGCCATCTTCCCATCCCTCAGTCATTGTTCCTTAAGTGCAGTCTTTGCTTTCTACAATCCTGTTGGTTCTGTTTTAAAGGTTGTATGAAGACAAATTATACTGTATTGTCTAGAATGGTCCTGTAGAATAAAGTTTACTTCTTTTGGGAAAGAAGACATCGGGTGATACTAAATGATGCCATGACCTAGCTTATAACAAGCCTTGGGATTGTATTTCAATAATCTGCAGCCTCCAATCCAGTGCCCTGCTGTATGGCCTGCACTTAGTTTGTTCTTCATATTTACAGCACTTACTTCAGTGCTTGGCAGAAGCAAACATTTTGTAATTATGTGTGAAAGGTAAGCGTAGACACTCAGCAGAGTAGATGGTGTCTTTTGGTGCCTCCGATCACGTGTGCACTAAACTTCTAGCCATCTTCACTATCCCTGAGAGTAGCTGATGAACCTCCTTCTGGGATGTAGTCCTGTAGTCACCGTGGTTTGTCTTAGTCAGAAGTCTTCTGTAGTTGGACAAGTCTTGGCTTGGTGTGTATCTTCCTGTTTTGTCTCATCTAGGATGCTGCAGCTGATTCAGAGTAGGCTACAAGAAGAGCATTCCCTTCAAGATGTGATATTCAAAAGTGCTTTTAAAAGTGCGTCAACGGCACTGCCACCAAGGTGAGAGCCTCAAACGTCCAGTTCTTCACCAGGAATGTTCTCTGATGTGTTTTAGTGTCGGTCCTGCTGTTTGTTCTTTATATACTTGTGTCAGAGTAGGTAACAAGGATTGCTGTAATCATGAAAATGATTTTTTCAGATTTAAAAAATATGCAAAGACTTTATATTGGCCTGGAAGAAAAGTCCAGTTTTCACTTGGGTGCCTTTTCCTGACCTCAGTTTCCTTCTGACCCAGCTGCACCGCAGTGCAGAAGTGCATGAGGAGAGTAGGAGGGTGTGCTGCTGATGCTCTCTGTTCCTCAGTCATTGAGCAGACTTGAAGATGCGTAAAGATCTGTAATTATGTAAATATGGTAGCTATATAGCAGCTCTAAGTGGGTGTAAACCATCACTTTAATCTTGACATTAGGACCCAACAGTTTGTCCTTAGGATTCTCCTTTCCCCGTGTGCCATTGTCACCAGTCCACAGTCTCTGTGCCAGATGTGTACTGAGACATCTGAACGTGTCTTGCCTTACAGGGAAGATGACCCAGCGCTGACTCCAGATGCATGCCGAATCCACGGTCATCTGTACGTCAATAAAGTAGCAGGGAATTTTCACATAACTGTGGGCAAGTATGTTCTTTTCACTTCCTGAAGTTCTCTTTTTTTTGGTTTTTCGAGACAGGGTTTCTCTGTGGTTTTGGAGCCTGTCCTGGAACTAGCTCTTGTAGACCAGGCTGGTCTCGAACTCACAGAGATCCGCCTGCCTCTGCCTCCCGATGGGGTTGGAGCTTGATTAAAATTGCGTATTTTCCTGACCAGGTAGTGTAACCACAAAGGGCATGTAAAGTGTTGTTTGTGGGTAAATAGTGATTAAAACCTCTCAGTCTTAACTTCTGTTGCCAGATAGCCTTGACCCTAGGGGCTCCATCAGTGTGTTTGTTTGTTGATAGTAGGTTTTGTTTAGCCCTTTGGTGGTTCTCATCAAAGTGCAATCCCTGAGTAATTCTAGAAAAAGTCTAAAGTTACTGATATCTAGAATGAAGTAATTTAGTAACAGCTTAGGAAGACTGTCACTTACTCTCCTGAATATAACCCAGTATCACAAAAAGCTCCCCTGCTTTCTCCTTCCACGGAGACCTGAGGAGGACGAGGCTGAGTTCTCCTCTGTCTAAACCGTCACTGGACGATTGCTGTGTGCAGAGTACTGGTCTGGAGACTCAGGGTCACACAGTGGAAGAGGGCGCCTTCCTCTCCCTGGGTGCTGAGGGAGACTCAGGGTCACACAGTGGAAGAGGGCGCCCTCCTCTCCCTTGGTGCTGAGGGAGACTCAGGGTCACACAGTGGAAAAGAGGGCGCCTTCCTCTCCCTGGGTGCTGAGGTCCTACAAGAATAGTCAAACTTTGACCAGTAAGTACATTAGTTATTACTTGATTATGGTTCTATTGAGGCTCTAAAAGCGATTATAGCTGATAAGGAAAATTATGTAACGTAGTCTGCGAGTCAGCAGAGGCTTCGTGAGGAGACTTTAGAATTATATGGGGAGTTAGGAACTTATATATAAAGTAAAGGAGAACATGTCAGGAAAAGAACCTGCTCAAAGGGTACCTTTGGGTTTATTGTCTGTTTACTTATTTGTTTATATAGAGAGAACAAAAGACTTCATTGCTTATAATGATCAAATCCAACTTTATTTTTTCTTTGTTGTGCTTTTCTCCTGCGAATTTAAACTTTGCTGTTTGGCCATGTTCAGTGCTCTCTTGCTTATCTGCAGCGTTGTCTGGGGACTTTGAGACTTTGGCACCGTGGAGGCAGCACATGGAGAGGGCTCATTGCAGCTTCACGTGTAAGCAGTGCCCTAGTCTGAAAGGCACAGCCCGAACTTCTGCTGTACCATGGCCTGTAGTCTCCCCTGTTTCACACCTTTCAGCAGATAGCTTACATATAACAGACCACAGAGGGAAAGCTCTTGTTGCTTGTGTCTCGTAAACTGAAGTAGACTTACCTTTTATTTTTAGTGTTAGGTTTGTCAAGCTCAATGTTGATCCTGTTACCTGTTGAGTGCAATGACAGTCCTCGCTGCCCATAGAGAATAGTTCAGAGGGCAGGAGTGTGGTGTTTGAATCCCTGTAAGCAGATGCTCGGATGTGTGCACACAGAATGCATTAGTAAGAGGCATGTGCTTGCATTTAGCCAGAGTTGTGACCAGATAAACACACGCGGGCCGCTCAGATGTTGGGATGACATTTGAGCACCGAGCAACACAGGATAGCGAGTCAAACAACCTATAGGTCCTCTGTGTAGCTGAACAGAGTTGAGACTCAGGTCAGTAGTTTCTCGTTTTTGCATTGTCTGAGGGCACCTGAGAGGTCTTTGTTGAAATATGATTCTCTGCAGGATGTTTTCTTTTCTGTCTGTGGTCCATGGATGCCAGTAGCATCCCTAACCTCAAAAACCAGTAAGTGCCACAACCAAAAAGCTGTTCTTCAACCTGACTGAGGTTCAGAACTGTTCTCCTTCCAGTGCTGGGCCCATCTGATGGGTTAGACATGTCAGAAAACAAGCCTTCTTAATAAATGTCATCTGCATAGGGTAACTGAATTTGATTTTTAACGTGTGGTGTTGAAGGGAGATGCTTATGCTGCTAATCCATAAATTTTCTAACAAAAAGGGGAAGATTTAATCTAAAACAGTTCTAAGTTCCTCACAGACCTTAGGTTGTGAGAAACTATTGAAGTCAGCTATAATGCTGTAGGTTGTAATTTGATTATTTAGAAGAATTCTTATTTCTAAATTTAAAGCCTATAGTAGGAACACAAAGTGAAGGTATCACTGGGACAGGGTGACCTCTGGCTGTAGTGTTTCTGTTTAGTGCTGCTGGAGTTAGCTACAGTCGTTCTTGTCATAGGTTAGTGCTCTGCACTGGATGGTGATGTATCTCCATCATATTGCCTCTTCTCAGAGTGCCTGTGCTGCAGAACAAGGTAAACACAAGTGAAGACCTGTTGGGGGCACACTTGAACTTGACAGTGACTTTATTACTAACCAGGAAAGATGTACACATTATGGAAAATTTTCTCACTGCTAAAATTGTTTACTGGGTAAAGCACAAATAAGGAACAGCATGTGGAAATCTTCATAGTGATGTTTTAACTTTCCATTTTTAAACCAAGAGCAGAAAAGGACAGTTGTTATTCTTAGTACCAGAAGAATAAAGAATTGGCTAAACTTAAGAGAGAAAAAAAGGCTTATCACAAGTGAACGGATCCTGAGAGCATGATTTCCAGATGCAGCCCACTGCCTTTTTCATTAATGAAAATGTTCAGATTTGCATTCAGAAGTGAAGTTTTAGTTAAGCATGGTGGCATACACTTCTAATTCCAATGCTCAAGAGGCAGGGACAGTGGACCTCTGTCAGAGGCCAGCCTGGTCCACATAGTAAGTTCCAGGCCAGCCAGAGTTACGGTGAGATCCTGTCTTACTCCCTTACTGCCCAAAAGATGAGGTTTTGTTGAAAGTTTACTTTACAGCATCATCGTGAGGATGGAGAAGTTGACTCTGTAATGGTCTCAATGTTCCTGGTGTTGGTGCATCACCGGCACTTGGTTATTATTTGATGGTGTAAAGATCATAGAAACACAGGCTCTGGTTGCCATACTTTCAAATCACCATCGAACTTGGCTACAGAATATTGTGATAACTATGATGTCACAGTGACTGCATTTAAAGAACACAGTGTATGTTGATACTATCAGGCTAACCAAGCACTTATCACAATAGTCCCAACTCTGTAGGAAAGCAGTGGTAAGGAAATTAGAGAGTTTAACGTAAAATGTTTAGTAGAATTTTTAAGAGAAAATGAAGTTACAATCAAGTGTTTGCTCACTGATCAGCCAAGAAAGAAAGATCCTGTACTTCTAGGTTAATGAAGTATGTTTGATTGCAGTAGCTGGAAAAATATGTTCAGTGAAGTTAGATTGGCCTTGGGCCATTAGATTTCAGTGAGAAAGTGCTTCAGCAGCTGAGGACAGGGAGTCCAGTGTCCAATAGTCTAGAAGCATGATAAGGCTAGAGGCATGGCTCAGTGATAAAGAGATAGGAGTCCTTTTCATGAACTCACATTGGACAGCTCACAAACCTGTAACTTCAGCTCCAGGGTATCTGACACCCTCTTCTGGACGCCAGGGGTACTACATGCACATGCATCTGCCCACATACTGGGCTTCCTGTGACCCTGAGGAGTGCATAGGTGTTACCACTACTGCGTGTTGTTTAGTGGATTAAGGATTCAATGAAAATAGTCTGTGTTGAATACCGAGGGAAGACTGTGGAGCCCTCCAATTCCATAGCCTAAAGTGATACCTGCTAAAGTGTGTTATCAACTAGCAGTCATTCCATTTGCTCCTGTGGACTTAATATTGTTCATTTCTGTGACTTTCATTAAAAATAAAATCTCAGCATTCCAGTTTGACCCTCTGCACAGCAGCTTGATCTTGAGCAATAGTGAAGTTTTATTATAGTTTTTTAGTACTGCTTTTGGTCAGTGTTTTAGGAATTATATTTTCTGAACACTTCATAGAATAGCTTATAATAAATTTAACCTAAGATTATCAGGGAAAATAGTACTTATGTATAAATTAGTGCTGTGGCAAAGTTGCTACAGTCATGTGTGACGGTGGTGGTTCTGAGTGGCTCCAGCAGAGTGCTGTGGATGTTGTGGGAACCAAGGCCTCCAGTCCCACCCCTAGTGTGTCTCAGCTCGGATTATGGTTCCAGTTGTCAGATACCAGGACAAGTACAGAGGAAGTTTTAGAAATCTGTTGTGCAATTTAGGACATTCTGCCTAAGTTGGGAATGAGTGATCTCTGATATACAAAATATAAAAGAGAAGACTCTAGTAGTATTTTAGAAATGTCTTCAAGGAAGTGAATAGAGTCAGTTGAAGCATGCTGATGGATTTGTGTTTTCAGAGACTGACGTGTTTAGGTCATTACCAGACACACGTGAGGTCGTTCTTGAAATTCGGATCTCCAGCTTTAAGCCTCAGGGAGCAAAGGTTTTTTTTTTTTTTCCCCCTGGAAAGCACATGTGAGCTATAGAATGAACTCAGTTTTTTGGGTTTTGTGTTTTATTGATATTTATGAAATGGTGTTCCCTTGGTTTTTATCATCTTGGCTCATGAATACTTAACACAGTTTCCTTTTGGCTTTTTGCAGCCTTAGTTATCGCATTGCTGAGATGGTTTAGCTGAGGACCAGGTGCACTGTTCTTACTTTGCCTTGTTAGTTATGTGTCTGTTTTTCCTCCTTCCAGGGCAATCCCACATCCGCGAGGGCATGCGCACTTGTTAGTTACGTGTCTGTTTTTCCTCCTTCCAGGGCAATCCCACATCCGCGAGGGCATGCGCACTTGGCAGCACTTGTCAACCACGATTGTGAGCAATTTCTGAGATTTCATTTCAGTGTAGAAAAGTTTGCAAGAGAAGTTAATTTTGTGTGTGTTTTTCATTTGTTTTAGTGCAAATACAAGGTAGGGCTTTGAAAGTAAACTTGACTCGTGTGGTAGCACACACCTTCTGCCTTTAATCCGTCAGTCCCAAGACGGAGGCAGGTGGTTCTCTGTGAGTTCCAGGCCAGTCAGGACTACATAGTGAGAGTTAGTCTCAAAAACAAGTAAGTAAGTGTGTCGGCACCTGTAGCCCCAGCACTTGGGAGGCTTAAACAGGGGGGTGGTCATGGATTTGAAGTTAGCTTGTGCTACATAGTGAATGTCATGCCAGTGAATATAGAGAGCAAAAGCCAAGCAAACAAAGGAAGCTGTTTAAAAATTTATGTCCAAAAACAAACAACTTGGTGTCCCATCTAGTGGGAAAAAAAACCTTAAATGTATTGCTTCAAATCTATCTGTAAGTTCACTGCACTTCTCTCTGTTCATTGCCCAAAAGTCCCTGCAGTTAGGGGGCCAGGAGAACTTGGTGCCACTCTGTACATGGCCACTAACAGAGGCAGGACTCGAAGTGGAAGGCTTGTTTACACACTTGCAATTACTTTGGTACAGTGATAATCATAAAACTGCAGTGTTTTTGGAGAGTGGAATTGAATGGAGCATGTTTTCATATGCCTGGTTGGCCTAAGGCTGCAGATAGCCCTGAGTGACCTGGTCCTCCTGCATCTACCTTCCAAGTGCTGGGATTCCAAGCTTGTACCACTGTTCCAAGCAAGACTTTCTTCTTAAACTTGGCTTTTAGAACGAAGCAAATCCTATAAAAATCAGTTGATCATAGTAGTGGATGGTATGTTAAAAAATATTTGTGATCGCTTTCATTATTTGACTAACATCATCCTATGTTCTAATGGCATGGTTTGGTTTCTGTGTGATGTTTAAAAATCAAGAAAGTTGTATGTTTTGGACAGAATTAAATAAGACAGTTAATAGAAATTAATTTGTATATACTCATGAAATTTGAGGCAACATTTTGTCAGGATTTTATTGTGCATTTCTCATGTTTTTTTTAACATGCTGTTTTAAGTAGATGATTTGAACATAGGTGAGGATATAGAACTGTCTGTAGCATGGCACTCTAAAGAGTTAATGTGAGTTCTCTGCCTTTATTTTCTTTATCTTAGCTTACAACTTTTCTCACAGAATAGACCATTTATCTTTTGGAGAGCTTGTTCCAGGGATTATTAATCCTTTGGATGGAACTGAAAAGATTGCTGTAGATCGTAAGTATTTAATAAGTGCTCTTAGAATTTGCATACAGAAAATTGCATTAAAAACCTTAATACTGGTGTGTTTCCCCTCCCTGTCACCCTTGGGAAGCTAATCTTTAAGAGGCTGCTGAGTCTGTGGTAGACGTGAATGGGATTTGGCCAGGAGGGTTGATGTGTTGTTTCAAACACAATAGTCACTGGAGAAAGAAGTTCTCTTCTTGTCACAGGACCAAGGCTCTCGAATGCTTTTGTAGGAGGCTCCCTGCTGAATGTCACCAACCCAGGAAGCCTGGAGTTACTCCAGAGTGGCGTTGCATGTAGTCAGGTGTGTGCTATCACAGCAGCCATGCGCTTGTGTTTTCAAGCCTCTACTCCACGTGGAGTACTTAATCAAGTTCTGAGGGTTATTTTCTTCATCTTGTAGCAAGTGGTGTGTAGCCTGTTTTCAGGTGACCTTGTTATTTTGAGATAGTGTTTTACCATTTCGGTCAGGCTGGCCTGGAAGTAATAGTGTAGCTCAAGCTGGCTTTAAACTCACGGCAATCCTCCTGGGATTACAGGCTTGTATTGCCATGCAGGTTTGTTTTTGGACATTGATCTTTTTGTACTTGTATTTACCATGGTGGCGTCAGGTAACTAAAAATGACCACCCCTTGAATGGCAGTCCCTGAGCAGTTTGTTTATACCTCTTTGCTCTGATGTCACCTTCAGAGTCTGGCAAGTCCAACTTTGGTTTGCTGTGTATTTAAGATGAATAGCCGTGAGAACTGTGGTTACTGCTGTAATGTCATCTAGGTTTCTGCTCTGGGAGATGCTGTCTTTGCCTTCTTATGTCCCATGCATGGCTATTAGTGCCTGAACTAATGCATGTGGGCACCTGCATGCCTCTTGACTGGGGCTTTGTTTTACAAAATATGAGTATATTGTCTTCATTTTCAGTTTGTTTGTTTGTTTGTTTATTTAACATCCTGACCATAGTTTCCTCTCAGGCTCTCTCCCACCTTCCCTTTGTCTTCCCTCCCCCCCATCCATTCCTCCTCTGTTTCTGTTCAGTAAAGAGCAGGCCTCCCACAGATATCACCAAAATGTAGCATATCAGGTTGCAGAAAGACTAAGCACCTTACCTTCTAGTTAAGGCTGGACAAGGTGACTCAATATGAGGAATAGGGTCTCAAAAGCCAGGAAAAGAGTCAGAGACATCCTACTGTTAGGAGTCCCAGAAGAAGACCAAGCTACACAACTACAGCATATGTGCAGAGGACCTAGGTCGATCCCATGCAGGCTCCCTGGCTGTCGGTTCAGTCTCTGTGAGCCCCTGTGAGCCCAGGTTGGTTGATCTATGGGTTTTCTTATGGTGTCCTTGACTCTTCTGGGTTCTACAGTCCTTCCTTCCTCTCTTCAGCAGGATTCCCCGAGCTTGGCCTAATGTTTGACAGTGGGTCTCTGCCTCTGTTTCCCCCTGTTGCTGTATGAAGCCTCTCTGACAACTGCTGGGCTAGGCACCAATCTGTGAGAACAGCAGAGTATCATTAGGCATCATTACATTGACATTTTGTTTTTATTCCAGTCCTGTTTGGTTCTGTCCTGGGTCTCTGGGCCATCCAGCCCCTGGGTCCTGGAGCTCCAGGCGGTGTCAGGTGGCATGGGTCTCAGACTGATTGGCCACTCCCACAATCTCTGTGCCACCCTTACCCCTGCACATCCCATAGGTAGGGCAGACTGTAGGGCGAAGATTATGTGGCTGTCTTGGTGTCCCTATCCTTCCACTGGTAGTCTTGACTAGTCACAGGAGATGGCCAGTTCTTAAAATTATTTATTACACACTAAATCAAGTGTGGGCACCCCCGCACCTCTTGTGTCCTAAGTGGGACTTTGTTTTACCAAATATGAGTACGTTTTCATCAGCTTTTCTTTTTTTAAAATTGTTTATCTATTATATACTAAAGCAATGGTAATATTAAATTTCAATTTTGTCATATTTAGTAGAATAGATGTGATAGTATTCTATTGCTACCGATTGATAAGAAGGCATATTTTGTTTTTATTATAGACAACCAGATGTTCCAATATTTCATTACAGTTGTGCCAACAAAGCTACATACATACAAGATTTCAGCTGACACCCATCAGTTCTCTGTCACAGAAAGGGTGAGTGGGACCTCATTGCTAAGATGATTGAGGGGGAATTTTTTTTTAGTTTCCCAACTGCAAGATAACACTGGAGGTTTAGTGGGTCCCCTTCCCTATTTTAAAATGTATGGAAGTTTTGAAATGAATTAACATTTTTAGTAAAAGTGTATTGGAGTGGGTATTAGTGTGTGTTCTAGCGTTGGCAATGACTATTACAGATTAAATTTGGATGGCAGGTCACTTTATGAATTTTGGTTTGTGATATTATTCTTCATAGGTAGCTAGCTCCTGGCCTGCCTCTGTCATCAGGTGTTGTGTTTCTTTGTTGTGTTTTGTAAGGGCCTCTCAGCAAGGCCCTCAGTGCAGCCGGGTCTGATTGAGTGCGTGCTTCCAGCCTCAGGTAGAAGGGTCTTGGTGGTTTCATGGAGGGAAGAACAGGTTTGAACAGCATCTGTTCTAGGTTGTATTTCCTTATAAATCAAGTTTGAAATTGGTAATACTCAACTGGTACCCACCTGAATTCCAGGGCGTGTAAGAGCTTTCCCCTCCATTTTCCTTCATGTGGTAGTTAATGCCTTAGGTGATCCTGACTGAGGCCTCTGAGAGCAAGGCTCTCTTTAGTCTTCTGAACTAGGTTATTTCAGAGGGCAAGTGTTAAGTGTCTAGGGGCAAACAGGTGTGTATTTATATACATACATACATATGTGTATACATACGTACACAGTAGCTAGGTAAGTATATATTTTACTCGTCAACATTTCTACAAGAGTAGGAAGATGTTCTCACCAGCTGTATTGACAAATACCTGGGAAACATTGTGTAGGTTTGACAAGGGTTTTGGGGCAAAGTAAGCAGGGGTATAGGATTCTAGAATTGCTGTGGGTTATAGAGAGTCTGGCAATGTGTGCATTGCTTCTCTTACAGCTGTCCCTTTCCAAGGACTGCGTGTCATCATAATGGTACCATAAGACTAGAAATAGCTCAAATTATAAATCTACCCAGCATGACATCCAACTATAAAAAAAGACGATGTTTGAACATGAAGTTATCTTCAGGATGTATTTGAAAATAGCAAAATTAAATCAAAAAGAAATCCATTGTGTAAGGGGTGTTTGTTATAGGTGATTGAGTTTAACAGTTCAGGGTGGGAGAGAAGCTAGCCACTTTCAGTTTTGGAAGCCCAGTTTAATCATCCCTAGTCTTCGCCAATGTAATTGATGCCCTGATTCCCAACGTAGCTTGCTTTTTTGAATGTGGTCACAGGGTTTCTGTGCCTTAAACATGATATTGAACATTTTAGCGTTTTTGCATTAATTCACTGTTGAAAACTTGATTGGTGGCTCATTTATAAGGTTCTCTGTGTTAGTAATAAGGGAGGGGATTTTTACCACATGGTATGTGTTCCTAATGCTTGCATTTTAATTTCAGATTAGTAGAAATAAAATGACAAGAAATAATTTTAAAGAAACAATGCGATATAAACTTGGTGTTTATCCCTTCGTTAGTTGTAAGTGCAGGAATATGCTGGTATGTTTAAGATGACCATTTTCAACATAGGAATAGTTCAGTTCCGGGTTCTGTTTTCTTTTTGAAACAGTGCATGGCCCTCCAGTTTTTGCTTCCTAGGGTAGGATTACAGATGTGCAACACCATGCCAGGATAAACGTGATTCTTTAAAAAACTTACCCTGTCTCTGGAGAGCTTAAAGTCTAGGGCAGTTAGTGCACCGGGAGGAAAGTAGAGTGTGTGAGTTCCCATGACGAGTGCTTATTTCTCTTCCTTTCTCTCCTCTTCCCTTGCTCTAAGGAACGTATCATTAACCACGCTGCAGGCAGCCACGGAGTCTCTGGAATATTTATGAAATATGATCTCAGTTCTCTCATGGTGACAGTCACTGAGGAACACATGCCTTTCTGGCAGTTTTTTGTAAGACTCTGTGGTATTATTGGAGGAATCTTTTCAACAACAGGTTAGCATTCCTTTCTTTGCCTAATTTCTTTTTAATTTGTTTTGCTTTGAGATAAGCTCTTACTGTGGATTGTAGGAAGTAGTGGTCATGCCATGCTTCTCTCTCTCTGATTTCCGAGTGTGTTTATTAGACTCGGGTGGGGAGATCGTTCACTGATGGACTGTGCCTCAGCATTTGCAAGGCTCTCACACACAAGCACACATACATACATACATACATACATACATACATAAAATCACGCCTCTTTTAAAAGAGCAAGAAATATAATATACACATTTTCAAGTTTTAATATTTGGAAACGTCTCTAAATTCTAAAGCTCGTAAATGTATTTCCTGTCCTGTAAGCACACCTCTCTCACGGGATTTAGTAATGTAAGGAAGATTATGTGGTAAGCCATACATGTTTTAGGCATTAGTCTGTGTTCTGCCACTGACCCAGTAGCCCTGACATAGTTCACTACCTTTCCTGAAATGTAATCTGTGGTTTGTCTGTATGCTATAGGGTTAAATGAGGAAATGCCCAGAACATCGCAGCTGTAAATTCCCCCTTATTTAAACTTCTTTCCTCAGATACTGTTTGAAGTCATATTTTGTGACATTTTGATTAAATCAGTAATGTTTTTGGTTTTAACCCAAGGCTCTGGAATCTTTTTAGAGATCCATCTTTAGCCCTTGGTTACTCTGAGCTAGTGAGAGAGTTATGTTCTTAGAACTCTGTTGTTTTGATTCATATTTCTAGAAAAAGAGAACAGATTTTCTTATTTTGGTTCATCTAAAAAGATGTTATTTGCAAAGTTATGTGAGAAAGTCTTGAAAAGGTTGTAACCCTCTCAAGTAGTTTGAGCCTCAGAGACAACTGCAGGCTGCTTTGCCGCCCTCCGTGGCCTGTTCCTCTACAGGTAGCTGTAGTATTTAGTCTTACACAGCAATTTCAAAAGCAGTTTAATTGAAAATTTGAACTTATTTTATCCATTGCAGGCATGTTACATGGAATCGGAAAATTTATAGTGGAAATAATTTGCTGTCGTTTCAGACTTGGATCCTACAGGCCCGTCCGCTCTGTAAGTGACACACGTGCTGCTGTCTCTAAGTCATGCTGTCAGCTCCAGTCTAAACAGAAAGGGCCTCCCCCAGAGCCTTGTGGTCTGAGATGTCGTAGAGAGTGGAATTAATTCTCTGGTCTTCTCTTCTGCTTTCCCCTTAGGTCCCCTTTGAAGATGGCCACACAGACAACCACTTACCTCTTCTAGAAAATAATACACATTAGCACCTCCTGGGTGGAGAAAAACTTTTTGCCTGAAACATGAAACCTTTTCTAATAATAAAATGTTGTGCAATATATTCAAAGAAAAGAAAATATGAGAACCTGGAAACATACTTATTTAAAAAAAGGAAAAAAAGGATAAAAAAAACCCCAAAAAAACAGCCAAGGATAAAAACAAAGCGAAGTTGTCCTATACATGTGTGCCTGTTACAAATGTCCTAGAAGAAATCATGCAGCTAACTGGAGAGGCAGCCCAGCCGGAGTGCCAGGCAAAGATGGCCCCTCTCGCTCAAACGGACAGCGAGGAGGAGAAGAGTCTAGAGGATGGAAGTGAAACCGTACTTACAGAGAAGGGCATCGATACATGCAGATGTGTGTCCTTTGTTTTTAAAAGATGTCAGAATAAAATGTGTAAAACATGGAAAACTAGTCTAGACTTTAAAAAACTGCAATCAGCTCCCATGGTTAATAAATGAAGCAGGGACTGGCCCTGTGTTTCAGCCATATTAGTGCTAAGCCATATTGACAAGACCATGGTGTCCAGCACTGGGTTCTGATGAAGGTGTCTGCTTTCCTCTGAACTCCAGCTGGCGACTTTCCTGACTGTTAACGCCGGATTTTAGAAGATGAAGGTGAGGTTTCTTTCCTAAGGGCAGGTGTGTAAGTGCTATGATATGTGACAGGTGTCACTTACAGCTTGTACCTGGGACGCTGCAGGGAGAAAGGACAGCGTAAGACCATAAAAGTCACTACTAATTTGTGAACTGTCGAGGGAGAAGTCCTGTGTGCTTGTGGGCAGTGGGAGACAGGACAGCTACACATGGGTGAGGCAGTGTCAGGTCTGAGCAGCACAGGCACAGCTGTAAGCCTGGACCAGGGACAATACTGCCCTCGGTCGGGGCTCAGGTAACAAGAGGGAGCCCTGTCAGGTACTGTTAAGAACTGCCGGATTTGTGTGCCAGCCGGTCTCCTCTCGTGGCTCTTGGGGCAGAAGCATCAGTTCATCTCCAGAGACTAAATCTTTTGAGAGAGAAGACTGGGTTTCCGGTTCCTGTCAGACAGGACCACACTGACAAATTACTGTGTTTTCAAGTGAATGTTTTTACAGATTTAAAAAATGATCTATTGAAAGAGGGTAGGCAGTCAGGTAGGGAGGAGATAGCAGCAAAACACTCAGCGGTAAAGTGTATGAAAAGTGGTATTATGTAGAAAATCAACATTTTTAATTAAAATGCACAATATTAAGAGGTTAACTGACTAATAATGTAATAATGGTTTTCAATTTTTAAAACATATCCAGGAAATTTCAAATAATGAATGAGTCTTCTCTGAGGTTTTTGTTTCTTTGTGACTTTTTGGTTGGTCTTTGTTTTTCCCCTTATATTTTATAGTTGGGCTAGAAACAGGACATCTCTCCAGAAGAATCGCTAGTGAGAACTGGCATGTTGGCACTTGAGACTGAACGCTGCTTTTCCATGTCTACTGCTAGAAAGTTCAGTCAGGCTTCAGGGAAGAAAATCCTGATCTAGAATTGCTTTCAGTATTACAATGTCTTTAGGAGATTTAAAATTATTTTTAATTTTTCCATGGTTTCTAAGTGCCACATTAAAATCTTATCTTACTGAGTTGTATCTTTTCCATTAAAGTTGACTCCAAGGGAATTTGTTTAAAGCAACATTTTCTTGGCATTGATTTCCATTTTAGAAATTAAGTCATTCATTTTCAAATAGTCAGGGTCAGTAAAGAAATGAAAATTCTGACCGTCCGTTTGGGTAATGAAGACAACTGCGACCAGGATTTGTGGAGAGAGTTTTTGGCCTTACCAGGTTTTCATTCCAGGTCAGAAATCCCTAACTGCCTGCCAAATTCCACAGCTTTTCCTGTGCCTGTGATCCCTAGAGCCAGGATACCCAAGAGTCTGTGCAGTAGTCGTGTGTGTGTTCAATCCTAATATTCTAAGTCTGAGGCCTCCTTTACTTGAAATGTATTTTTTATACTATGTTTGTATTTGTATACTTTGACTGTAAAGACAGAAAATAACTAGGCAAATAAATTACTGTCAAGTGTTGAAATCCTTGACTACCTCCTGAGATAGCTCGGCTCAATATTAGAATGGCAGGTCCACTTGTTCTCTTACTTAGATGAGTATTGGACACAGAAAAGCCATTTCATTATAATCAGAATTTATCATCTGAAACAACTTGGTTTTAACTTGGAAATGCATGTACGATGTAATATTTTGATAGATGTGTTGTAATTCAATTGCCAGGAAGTAAATTTACATGTAACTTCTTCAGAGTTCTCTACACTTGTACTCTGGGTCCATTTTTATGTGTGTAGTCTAAGAGATGCTTGATCCAGACCTCGAGATCCTTACAAATTCAGCATGCCATTTAATCTTGAAGCTTCTCTTCTTGATTAAGCTTCTCAGATCCTTTAAAACACTGCCAGGGTAATGATGGAGCCTGATGTGGCATGCATCGGCCACCCTGGTGTGGCTGGCATGCATCGGCCACCCTGGTGTGGCTGGCATGCATCGGCCACCCTGGTGTGGCTGGCATGCATCGGCCACCCTGGTGTGGCTGGCATGCATCTGTCATCCTGGTGTGGCTGGCATGCATCTGTCAATCCTGGTGTGGCTGGCATGCATCTGTCATCCTGGTGTGGCTGGCAATGTCATCCTGGTGTGGCTGGCGTGCATCTGTCACCCTGGTGTGGCTGGCATGCATCGGCCACCCTGGTGTGGCTGGCATGCATCTGTCAATCCTGGTGTGGCTGGCATGCATCTGTCATCCTGGTGTGGCTGGCATGCATCTGTCACCCTGGTGTGGCTGGCAATGTCATCCTGGTGTGGCTGGCATGCATCTGTCATCCTTGTGTGGCTGGCATGCATCTGTCAATCCTGGTGTGGCTGGCATGCATCTGTCAATCCTGGTGTGGCTGGCATGCATCTGTCAATCCTGGTGTGGCTGGCAATGTCATCCTGGTGTGGCTGGCATGCATCTGTCAATCCTGGTGTGGCTGGCATGCATCTGTCAATCCTGGTGTGGCTGGCAATGTCATCCTGGTGTGGCTGGCATGCATCTGTCATCCTGGTGTGGCTGGCAATGTCATCTGTCATCCTGGTGTGGCTGGCAATGTCATCTGTCATCCTGGTGTGGCTGGCGTGCATCTGTCATCCTGATGTGACTAGCATGTTCTTGTAATCCCAGCCTCTGGGGGAAGCAGAGACAGGAACATCCCTGGGGCTTTCTGTCCAGCTAATCTTGCTGAATCAACAAAACTCCAGGTTTAGTGAGATGCTGTGTGACGGAGGAAGATGCCCAACATTGACTTCTGGCCGTCACACGGGTACACGTACATGTAGACAGCACACACATGAGCGTCTGTGTACACAACACTGGTTCGTATGACTGGGTCTGTAGGTAGTTGAGATTACCATCAGTAAAGAACCTAAATGTTTGGGGTCTCCTAATACTATTCTGAAGTCAGCTCTTCTGAGCATAACTCGGAGCAGAGATCCCTTTGCTACAGGCTTGATGGGAAAGCTGTGGAAGTCCTTTGGTCACTTGGGTAACTGGGTCCTGCATATTTTCAGCAACTGCTGTACCATTGAGAAGTCACTGCCTCTGTCTGCTTTTTATTAAAGTGATTTCTATCCTAGAGTGGATGCGTGTTATTCTACCACGTCTCTGACCCTCGAGTACTTAGTATTTCAGATAAAATAGGAAGATACTAAAAACCCATGTCAGAAGACATGGTTCTGCTTAAACTTAATTCCAGGTAAGCACGGTTTGCCATAGAAGTGGCCACACTCTTGTCATATAATATCCAAAACCCAGCTATTGCTAGGTTTGTTTTATTAACTTTTCAACCATGCTTTTAAAGCTGATTGTAGGCAGTGACTTTTTTTTTTTTTTTGGTTGTTTGTTTTTTAAACACTTCTCTGAACATAAGGGAGCAACACTGCTTTTCAGTGTTTTAAGACAGCTAGGGCCTTAGTTCCAGAAAAGGTAGCCATGTGAGGCCTGTGAACTTTTAATAGTTACTGATGATTTAGAAACTAGGTTGATCTGTGTTATAATCTAATGTGGTTTCAGTAAGAATGTACCTTATAAACGCATATTTGAATGCTTAGTCACCAGGGAGTGGAACTGTTTGAAAGGATTAGAAAGTGTGGCTTTGGAGGAGTGGTGTCAAAGGGCAGGCTTTGAGGTTTCCACTCTGCCTGCAGACCAGGGTCTAGCCTTTAGGTGCTGCTCCTGCACCATGTTCCCTGTCATGATGATAATGGACTAAACCTCTGAAACCGTAAGTATAAAAGGAAGCATTAAATGTAGAGTTGCCTTGGTCATGGTGTCTAGAACAATGGCTAAGACAAATGCTATTTGGGAGTTCTCTGTTTACCTCAGTGTTGGAAGTTATTCAAATGAGACGTGGTACTAGGTGAGTACAGGAGTATGAGAAGGTTTTCTGAAGTGTGTCAGCATTGGTTGCCTTAGTAGCTGCCTGGTCACTGTCATCAAGTACCATGTGGCTACAGACAGGAGCAAGACATCTGTTGTATGTTCTCACTGGCCTAAATTAATAGAATAAAATATAATGGTTCATGTTGGCATTTTTTCACATGTATAGAAGACATTGTGGTTGTAATCAGCCCTCCCTTTTACCAGGACTACTTTTCAAGCATATACCTTCATACTTTTAACTCTGCACCCAAGTAGATTTTTTCCCCCTATTGCTGTGCATATGTTGGGATTCATGTAATTGATTGGTCCTGGGGTGGATTTCTCAATGGTGGCAACTTTCACATAGTAACTTACTTTTCCTGTTTAAGCATTGCAAGAGAAATTTGTGCCATGTGTCAGGTGCCTCAGAACACTCATGCAAATACAGTCCCGTTGGCGTGGCGGGAAAAGATGGCATTAACGTGTAGCCTATGTTTATGTATTTCCTTTCTCCTGGAGAAGGGTTATGGGAGGAGGTGGTCAGCAGTTAAAGAACACCGAAGACAGTAATTCAGAATTTTATTTAATCAGAAGTTTAATATTCAATCCCTGGAGTTCTTGGAATGATGAGATTCAGTAGTGAATTTTTAGAACTGTTTTTTAAATCCAGTGCTTTATTTATTGTATCCATACCTGGGGTCTTTCATGTAACTCAGAAGCATCTTGTAGCTTTGTCACACAGGACACCCAAAGGTGCTTTGTTCTGACTTGCAAGAGCCGTACCAGAAAGGGCTCTCAGAACATGTTCCTCATGAAGCCGAGGAAGCTCAGTACTGGGCACACTTGAGCCACCAGAATGCAAGCATCCACATATCAAATACGTTTGTGTAGTTATCAGAAATTTGTGTGACAGTTACTTTTTAGGTCCCAAACGCCTCATTTGAATATTTCATGTTTTTAGCATGCAGAGATCCTGCAGTCCTGCATGTCCAGATCTCAAATATGAGCATACCTGGGGTGACGACTTATGAATATGAGATTTGTGGATGTGTAAAGATTTTTATTTGTATTTAAAATAGTTAATAAAACTTCACTTTCTCTTTTTGAGCTCTGTACACCCCGCAGTTAATGTGTGACCGGGATGACTGAGGTACATCGGCCTCAGGGTCTACAGGAACTTGCTCTTTCCAGCTCTGCACACAAAGACGAAAACTAGAACTTAAAATTTTATTTGAAATTTTGCTTTCCTTACTGGCAAAGGTCGGAGGGTTTCCATGGTTCTGATCTAGGAACGTCCCTCTCCCCACAGCCTTCCTGACTGATGCCTGAGTGAAGTACACTTAAATGGAAGGGCTTTGGGAACATCAGTAAATGAGGAGGAGCATGAGAGGGTTTCCAGGACAACAGTGATCAGAATGCCTTAGGCTAAGGAATGTCAGAATTGTAAGAAGCTATGAACTTTGAAGTACTTCAAACTCCTGATGCATGTACAGTTAAGTTCATATTTCGTGTGTAATTATCTACACCATTTGTTCCTCTTAGGGTTAAGATGTTGACCCAGGTGAGAAACGGCAGACGCTGAGCCTGCTTTCTCCACCTCCCACCCCTCAACTCCACTGGGGCGCTAGTGTTTAAGATAGCGGGCTACTTCTATGGCACTGTGAGGGTGTTGAGCTGCCTTCCTCCGCTCACTGTGGTTGGAAGCTTTTGCCTTGGTGCTGAGCATGCTTCCCCGATTGGTACTGCCTCTCTCTAGGCTGCTTAGGTTTCTGCCATGTTTGTCCATAACTTCATAGTTGAAGTTAGTTGTGTCAGGAAGGGAAAGCTAAGTATAGGAACAGGGGTGATCTCATGCTCTGTGTGTGATGTGTAGAGTGGTGGCGTTAAGACATACTTTGGAAGTTAGGTTTTTGTACATGTATGCAGTTAGAGGTTGACTTTCCTTCTCACTGAACCAAATTAAAAAAAAAAATACAGTGAAGAAGTAGGAAAGGAGATGGAACGGTAGGTTTGGCTGGAAGCTTGGGTGTGCTTCTTGTTACGTCCTAGTTTAAGACACAGTTTCCTGCCTGAGAGGTATCTGAGGTTCCAGATGACGGGCTGGTGCAATGTTCTTAGGCCTTGAGTGTGCTTGAGGCCCTAAAGTAGGAGATGAACTTATAACAGAAGCTCACAATGAAGAACCAGATGTTCCGCGCCATCTGAGACCTTGTGATGAGGAGGCGCCAGATGATCAGGAACAGGGCGGTGTTAAAGAGGTACTGGATGTTTCGGAGCCTGAGGAACAGAAACAGAAGCACGGTTAAGACAGTGCCTGCACCAGGCTGTGTTACCTGAAGTGCAAATGCGTTCCTCATCAAATACCTAGTTCTGAGAGCCCAGGGATGCCTTGGTGCCCCTTTGTTTGTAGTGCCTTTCTATTGACTAATCATGTTTTTTTTTTTTTTTCTCACATTTTGCTAGCTTGTTACACTTCCTCCTATTTCTCTGTTTAGAGCTCTTTTTACTGGTTCCTAGGTGAATGTAGTTTTTTTTTTTTAAATGGTTCCTAGGTGAATGTAGTATTTTCAAAATACACTCTGATCTTTCAATATCAAAAATCCTCTCTGGCTAGTGGAAATGGC